TAAGTGTGAAGAATGCAAACCTTAACATTTGGGAGCAAATCAATATTTTGCAATTTTTTTTGTATCCAAATAGACAAGCTTATATCCTTATGAAGAAAAACAGATTCAAATCTAGAAATAAGTCATTTTAAAATGTTTTCTTACAATGATTTTTAAAATAATTGGCTTCACCAGGGACAGATGTAAGAAAAAGATCTGAATGCCTTAACACTCCTTTTTCTGTAAATATTTTGGAAAGTCTATAACTCATGTTTTGAGATGCCAGAGACCTAAACATAATAACACTTTTTTCAAAAGAAGATCCACCGAACCATAATGGCCGAGACCAAGAGGTGATATATCATAAACAAGAACCACGTTTTTGACATTTACCATAGATTTTCCCCCCACAGTGTATGCATGTCACCCATCCAAAATCCTAAGTGGTGGTGGTGCTGTTGAAAACCACAAAGCCCCTCTACATATTTATGTGAACCCTCCTTCTGTTCACAGGCATCCCCAGAGTAGGTTAGTTTATGTGTGACCCACATGCACATGCTGGTTCAATAGAGAGGCAGAATGGAGTAAAAGTTATGAGCAAAGACCCTACAGCCAAAACACCTGGCTAGGACCTCCACACATCCACCCTCTGCATGGCCATGAGTGGATTACTTTGCTTTATTTCCTTATCTATAAAATGGGCATGGTGACAATCTGTTCTGTCTCACAGAGTTGGCATATGAATTCCATGTGGCCAATACATGGAGAAAACTTAGAACCATTGTGGACACATTACAAGGACTCAGTATATGTGGGCTATAAATTAGTTTGCATTTTATGAACAGTTTTTATGAGCTTTTCCTGATGTCTGTCCACCTTCAGCCATAGTTCTTATATAAGAAATCAGATGATAAAGGGGACAGCTGAGGGACCTCTTTAGCTAAAATTGTTTCTTATTAATTTGGGGAGTTTTTCTGTGGTTCTCTTTAGAGACAGGGTCTTAATAAATCAACCTTTACACATACCATCCAATGATATACTTTGTTGGTTTTCAATTTCTCGTTATAGTACCATTCTACTAAACACTCACCCCAATGTAAACGTGTTCTATATATGATTTTTGTTGTTAAAATTGTTTTGTTTGTAATAGTAGAATCGAGACCTTTGTCAAGTTAACAATCATCGAACCTCACTGCTGGAGTCACTGTGATGGTTATGAAGGGGGAAGGGATAAGAATTAGACCCTTGATTGGTTTTGGAAGTGAGAGAGTCGCTAAGTTTAATAGCACCATAATGTCGTGGTTATTATTTATTAGTTTTTTTCACAGAGGAACATCTGGGTCTTGATTTGCTTATCAACTTGGGGGGAAAAAAAGACTAATAAAAGGACCAAATAATAACCAGGATAAACCAGCATCTCTGTAAGTGTAGGAAAAATTAGGAGGCCATACCTAGTATAGTTCACTGGTGGCACATAGAATAAAGGGCATGGGGGCACAGCTAGCAGGCACTGGCCGGATCATCTCTAAGGGACAGACAGACCATGGGGGCCACTTGACACCCAGAAGAGGAGTCAGCCATAAGCTATTGTTTTCACAATGTTCTGATTCCAGAATCACAGCAGTGACAAAGCTCAGACACAGGGACTACTGTACCCACAGCACTAAAATTAGAACATAATGCTTAATGCTGGCAGTTATATTCTCCTAAATTCATTTTTAATTCCAAACAAAATACTCCTAAGAGGATTCTGCTCTTCCACTGCCCCTTGTCATGGGGTTAATTGGCAAGATGGATATATGCCAATCAGTTTTAAATAATGCCCTTGGGTTCCTATGACCTTTTTCACAAGTTATAATGCCTAAGTTGCTTGGGAGAAGTTGCCTCAAGAGAGGAGTTCTACTTACTTGAAGATTCCACTTAAACAGAAATCCTTTTATTCAATTAATCTTGATTTTTGTGTGTGTGTCTACAAGCCTGACTCCACTTTCTTTCATTAAGGAAGTCCAAGATAATGATCATGATTGACTTTATTTCTTTTAAATTTGGTGACTGGAACTTTACAAGGCTCTAGGGTCACTCTTCTGAAGAGCACTGCTCAAACTTGGGGTGATGAAGAGGAGCCAGGAAGTCATAAATGTTTCTAGAAATATACTTTTGATTTTCTAACTAAAATCTTTGACTTCACCTTTTTTTCACTATGAGATTTTATTTCTCTAAATATTGTACAAAGGAATACTTGTGTACAGGAAAATAGAAATCATCGTCAAAGGTTCTCATTTAAAATCTGCTCTAACAAAAGCGTACCTGTAATTGAAAGAAAAGAAAGTATCTCAGCAATAGGAAAACATTCATTTGAGGCATGAGCACTAACTGGGTCACTGTTGCAGTGCAGATATCGGAGACTCAAGTGAAACCTTGTTAATGCGACTAATTAGCTACTCAAATCTAAGCTGATAAACTACCTGAGTCAAGCAAATTAGTTATTGCATATTCCATCCTCACAAGTGCTAGGTAGATTCAATTTGGATCAGAGAAACTTTTGTACCACTACAGGTGTACATGGGAAGACAGAAGAGATGGAAAGAAAGACAAAAATATCCCAACATATGGGTAATGAGGGAACTGACAGATGGCGACCATCTTAGTTTGGAAGGAAGACTAGAGTAGAGAGAGACGTTTCAACCAAATTCATAGGTATGGTGTGAAATTATGCCATAACTGTTGAATCTTAATACTATGAAACAATTTTCCTCGTATACTTATTCCTCTGTATTTTAGGAAAAAGTAAGAAAAAAATTGCATGCATAGAATAATTTTGGGGAAGACATACTCCTTCCACTGCCATCCCAAAGGAAACCCTCCAAGGAAGTTGTCGCCTAATCATTTAAAATTCCACCATAAATTCCACCCTCAAATTTTACCACTTACCTCTGTTAAAAAAGAGTCAACTCTTTTCTGGAAACTGTAAGGCCAGAGTAAAAATTACTTTGCCTATTCCTTTCAAATACAACAAAAAAGTGTAATGATAGGTCCATGATTGAAGGGAGTTGAGGGTGCTAGTTCCTGGATATAAAAACACAATCCCTACTGAGAACAAAAGATCAGGGATTTGTGAGGACTCGTTCATAAATTTCATCTGGTTGACAATCTAGCCAAAGGCAAGTCCTGCAGATGTCCTCTCAGTGCTTTTAAAATCTATGATGATCAGGCATTAGGACCTCTGGCAGAGGAAATGAATGAGAATTTTCTTGGACTCATACAGCTCAAAAAAGAACTTAAGGATCTAGTTTGGTTTTCTACTTTCACAGATAAGAAAAGGAGACCTAAGATGAGGGATCCACCATCACATTGCCAGTGTAATGGCCAAGATAGCACTAAAACCCAGAGCTTCAGATACAGATTCAATGTTTTTCATTAAGCTCCATCCCAGTTCCTACTATCCATATCATGTTGTATTAGAGAGATGGAAGAGGGCAAGGAGAGGCAGATCCAACTATTTATCTATTTGGCATTACTTACTATTGCTTAACAGAGCAATGTTTTATTCTGTCTTATTTCAAGGGAAAAGAAGGAAGAAAGAAAAGAAGGAAGAAAGGAAAGAAGGAAGGAGGAAGCAAGGAAGGAAGGAAGAAAGAAAGGAGAAAGGAAGGAAGGAAAGAAGGAAAGAAGGAAGGGAGGAAGGAAGGAAGGAAGGAAGGAAGGAAGGAAGGAAGGAAGGAAGGAAGGAAGCAAAGAGAAGAGAAGAGAAAACAAAATCCTTTCATCAAAAGGACTTGCTAGCTGGGAAATCAAACTAGAGTCTTCATCAAACTAGAGTCTGCATGTTCCAGAACTAACTAGGGTTATCTTCTGAAGGACACTAGCTCAAGTGTGTCTACACCTTCAGATGACATCTTGAAGAAAGCACATAAGCTCTCCAGCTGTAATGAGAAGTGATGTGCTCCTCTCATTCAAGTCATTCTAAAACGTTTCTTGGCCATTCTTGTCCGGCATCTTGCTAATCTTGTCTGTACTTAACACACTGCAGGAGTGAATACTAGATATGGCCGTGCTAACCCAGCTTTTCCAGCTGCATAAAATATAGTAGGTAATGCCACGGTAGTGGTTGTTCAAGTTCACTGATACAATAAACACTTAATGAGTAAGATGGGCATATGGCCAAAGCTACTAGCAGGAGGTAGGATGCCTCTCAAGCAGAAGTCAAGGAGGGCTTATATTATAACTCATTGGATGGTAGAATCTCTTCTAAAGAAAGAATACTACCAAAGAAAGTGGAGTCCATAATGAAAACATATCAAACAGGGTCCCAAGGCAACATTGGTGTTTATATGACACTTTCAAGGTGAAGTGTCCTCCCACTTCAAACAAATGATGCCATTAACTATTTAAATCATCCAACACACTCTCCTTGCTTTAATTCTTTGCTTCCCAAACAACCAGCTGATAAGCAAACTTACCTCTAGTCCCCAACGGAATAATAACACTGGGTCAGAGATCTAAATGAACCCATCAGATTAAGAGTTGTACTTCTCAAATAAATAAACAGCTGCACACAACTAATAGCGCTCTGGTTTACCATTGAATGCCTTGAGAGTTTGATACGTAAGAATCAGCAAAAATCAGACACAAGCTCCTAGCATATCTCGATTTAAAAAACTGAAAACCAGTGTAACCCCTTTGGGTCCCCTCCCACTGTGGGAGCTTTTCTGTCCTCTCAATAAATCCTACTTTAAAAAATAAAATAAAATAAAAAATAAAAAACTGAAAAACAGATGTAGGAGGTAGTGAATTCACCCAATCTCCACCTAGGCAGATTGTTTCTGGGAGTGAGAGTCTGTCCTCCCAGGGGCTGTTTCTTTCCTGGCAGCTGGCACGTCTCTCTGCCCTTGCTAAAACGTGTCTACGTGTATGTAGATAACAACTTGAACATCAGAGCTAAGAAGGTACCTTGAACAGGGGACATTATTGGAAATCACAACTAAGTATTATGCACTTAAAGTAAAAATAAAAAATGGTACCTGTCTCCTCAGGTCTCTTGTTTTCTTGGTCATCTTATCAATTGCAATGTTTAGAGGATCTCCCTTTTCTTTTCTTCCAGTCTGTTAGAAAAGAAAAATAATTTCTGGTTTAGAAAATTCAATGTTAGAGACTTTAATCACTTTTTTAAATTTCAGGAAAACAGTGGAGTTGTAGAATTCCATCAGTTTTTAAAAGGATTATTTTCAACAGATAGGTAACATGATTTGGTCTCTAAAGTTGTTTCCTTTTTTGCCAAAATAACAATGAAAACTGATCAAAATCAATACATTCTCAGGATGGCTACACATATGTCCATATGCAGCTCTATGCAAATCTGTGTTTTCTTCCCTTCTCCAGACAGCAATTAAGTAAACACAATAAGAATGCTTTGATTTTGCCTTCAAATACAAACACTTTCTGCTTTTCTATTGTGTAAGCACACTTCTGAATAGAAGATAACTAGGTGACAACTAAATAGAAAAGTATTTTAAGTAAATCATCAAAATTCATTATTTTGTACCAATATTTCATAGGCCATATTGCAACTTCTGTACCAAAATCAAAAGAGATGCTTTACCAGAAAATACAGTGCTTCTAATCTCCGTTCCGTCATGCGGCAGAATGCTAAACACAATAATAAGCAGCCCACAGCTTGTGGTCGTGAGGAAAATTTCCCTTATGACTATAATAGGCAGAGGTAGAGGAAAGAGAGTATTCCTTAATAAATTATTCACTTGGAAATTTCACTAGTTTCTTGTTTCTGTTCCTTTTTCTCCCCCCTGTTTTTTGTGGGTATAGAAAAACAATTAAAACCAAACAAAACAGAATCTCCATTGTATTTTTTAAAACAGCAACAAGATTCTCATGGCTGAAAAGTTCTGTAGACTTTATGGGTGGCATTATCTTCCCTTTAAGAGAAAAATGTTTTCAAACACCTTGTCACATGGATTAAATTATTTAAACTTCAGTCAAACACCTACCAATTGATTTATGTATGGTCCTAGTGGCAAGTTAACTTTTGTTCCATGCTCAGTCTTAGTAAAAGACTGGTCTCTGCAGGAACTTACACATATGATGAAACTAGATTCCAGGTCATAAGTTGCATCTAATGAGATAATATGTTTGAGGACCCATAGAAATTACTGTCCAACAGATTTCTAAATGTTCTCTTTCAGTTACAAAATCCTGGACAAACAAAGCTGATACATGCACGCCAACTCTGCATGGCTGGGTTTAAAGTAATCACTCTTCTCTACAACTTGTTTAATTAACCATTTTTTCAAAAACAAATGTCTGATGCATAGCCCTGTAGGGTTTTCATTACAAAGCAAACAAAGGCATTATGTACATATATTTTTAGTCATCTGAAATCCTACAAGTCCCGACTGGATGTGGTGGCTCGCACTTGTCATCGTATCATTTTTGGGAGTCCGAGGTAGAAGAATCGCTTGAGATCAGAGTCTGAGGCCAACCTGGGCAACATAACGAGGCCCTGTCTCTATGAAAAATTTAAAATATTAGCCAGGTGTGATGGCGTGCCTATAGTCCTAGCTACTTGAGAGGCTGGGGCAGGAGGTCCCTGGCGCCCAGGAGTTCAAGGTTACAGTGAGCTATGATCTAACCACCACACTCCAGCCTGGTATCAGAGCTAGACTCTGTCTATAACCACTAAACTAAAATTCTAACAGTTCCCATCATCCTTTTCCACTTTCTAAACTCATACACTGACTCTTTCAGATGTACACACCGAGGATTGCAAGTAGAAAGGGCTTAAAATAACCTGGCTAATATTCTACAACTTTTTGAAATATTAGCCCACAACTAGCTCCAAGAAAGTAAAAGTGCATGAAACAGAATAATGGGCCACTTTATCTTTCAAGAGAATGTGGCTGCCTAGCAAGTATGGCTTCCATGCCCGGCCACTCCACATCAGCCACCAATGGCTTTTCCTTTTCTGTTAGCTCTCTCCTTGCAAATAGGAAGTTTCCCATCAAAATATAGGATAGCTTTATGGAGGTCTAGACCATGATCATTCTGAGAATCATGATTTCCCATGCCCTTTCCATTTATGAGAGTAATAAAAACTTACTTTAGAAAATTACCCTTGCCAGGAGCAAAGGCTCATACATGTAATTCTAGAACTTTGGGAGGCTGAGGTGGGAGGATTTCTTGAGACCAGAGGTTCAAGATCACCCTGGGCAACAAATCAAGACCCCATCTTTAAAAAAACAGAAAAATTAGCCGTGCATGGTGGCATACTCCTATAGTTCCAGCTACTTGGGAGGCTGAGGCAGCAGGATCGCCTGAGCCCGGGAGTTTGAAGCTGTGGTGAGCAGTGACCATGCAACGCCATTCCAGCCTGGACAATAGAGTGAGACCCTGCCATAAAAAAAATCTTTTGTGAATAAATAAATTATTTAATAAAAATTGTGAGTCAATATTGTCAAGATGTCCATTCTACCCAAGGCAACCTACAGCTTCAATTAGATTACTAATATCATTTGTCTCAGACCAGGAAACAACAATACAGAAATTCACATACAAACAAAAAAGAGCACGAATAGCCAAAACTATCCTCAGCAAAAAGGAGTAAAGTAGGAGGTATCACACTTCCATATTTTAAACTTTACTACAGGGCTACAGTAACCAAAGCAAGAATAGACATTGTTGTTGGTACAACTGGCACATAGACTGGTATTGGTATAAGAATAGGCACATAGATCAATGGACTAGGACAGAGTTTCTGTCTCTCAACCAACTCATCTCCAACAAAGCCACCAGTAATAACCACTGGGGAAAGGAGACCATATTTAGCAAATGGTGCTGGGAAAACTGGCTAACCACATGCAGAAGAATTAAACTGGACCCCTACCTATCACCATATACAAAAATCAACTCTAAGTGGTTCAAAGACCTAAATATAAAACTTTAAGCTATAAGAATCCTACAAGACAATATAGGGAATACTCTTATCCACATCAGAGTAAGCAGTGAATTCTTGACCAAATTCCCAAAAGCGAATGCCATGAAAACTAAGACAAGTGGGACCTCATCAAACTGAAAAGCTTTTGCACAGCAAAAGTAACCATCAAGAAAGTGGGGAGACAACCCACAGAATGGGAAAAATATTGGCAAACTATGTATCTGACAAAGATCTAACATCCAGGATCTACAAGGAACTCAGACTGGCAGAAAGGAAAAAAATAAAAAACCCTATCCTATTAAAAAGTGGAAAAGGGTGTGAATAGATACTTTTCAAAAGAAGAGATACAAGCAGCCAACATATACATGAAAAAATTCTCAGCTTCAATAATCATCAGAGAAAGGCAAATCAAAACTACAACGAAATACTACCTAACTTCAGTAAGGAAGACCATCATTAATAAATCAAAACACAACAGTTGCTGGCAGGGGTTCAGAGAAAAGGGAACACTTCTGCACTGTTAGTGGGAGTGCAAGCTATTTCAACCTCTATGGAAAGTATTGTGGTAATTCCTAAAAGAACTAAAAATTGACCTTTCATACAAACCAGCAATCCCTCTCCTGGGAATATACTCAGAGCAATATAAATCATTCTACCAAGAAGACACTTGTATATGCATGTTTAGAGTCATACTATTCACAATAGCAAAAACATGGAACCAACCCTACTGCCCATTGAAAGTGAACTGAATAAAGAAAATGTGGTACATATACACGATGGAGTATTACACAGTCATAAAGAACACAATGATGGACTTCGCAGAACACTAGATGGAGTTGGAAATCTTCATACTCCATGATATATTATGGAAACAAAGAACCACTCATAGTGGGATCTGAACATCAATCACATTAGCATAAGGGAGAGATCAGCAGTCACTGGGCACTGCCAGGGAAGGCAGCTATGGATGGAGGGGTGGGGGCATGTAACAAAACAAATGGTACCTGGTCCCACACCAGGGGAAGTGAGGGCCAGCTGGAGGCCCAAACATCACCTGCATGCAGCCCACTTGTGTCGTTAATACTTACTTGTACCCCACATCTCTGTAATAAAATAATTTTTTAAAAGCCTACTTTTTGTAAAAGAATAAATAAATACAAGTTATTAATTTGGTTTAAAATATGGCTACAATAGAAAGACAGTAATAGGCCAGGCGCAGTGGCTCAAGCCTGTAATCCCAGCACATTGGGAGGCCGAGGCAAGAGGATTGCCTGAGCTCAAGGGTTCGAGAACAGCGTGGGCAACTTGGTGAGCCCTTGTCTCTAAAATAAATTAAAAAATAAGCCGGGCATGATAGTACTTACCTGTAGTTTCAGCTACTTGGAAGGCGGAGGCAGAAGGATTACCTGAGCCCAGCAGGTCGAGGCTGCGGTGGTCGTGAGCATGCCACTGCACTACAGCCTGGGCAACAGAGTGAGACTCCAACTCAAAAAATATATATATATAAAAAAAAGAGAGAGTAGTTTGCTGAATTTTCATCGTGGAAAAAAAATATCGAGATAGTTTGGATACACAAAATAATTACTGAGTGAATATAAGTGCTGGATCCTAGACTCAGTCCATACTGCCAGAGTCCTGTCTTTACCACCATTTTACAAAGGAGAAAAATGGGAGTCCAGCAGACCTGGGACTGGAGTGAAAAAAGTGAGACATTCAACTCAGGTATCCAATTTACAGGGGGCACCAAGGAACTCAGTCATCAAGATCAATGTTATTTTAAAAAGTCAAAACTGATGCAAAAAAAAAAAATCCATGTTGAACAAAACATCAAAATTTTAAATAAAGACCGGTGCCGACAGCTAGAACTGGCATAGGGTGAATGAGGTGAGTCCTGCAAGAACAGCCACCCGATTATATTTTTCCATTTTAAACATGAACAAATTGAGGGATGGACTTATTCTTTAAAAATCATGGTGTATCTGAAATTCATTTTTAACCGAGCATCCTGCATCTTTATGCACTCAGTCTGGCCACCCTACCCCATGGGATAACAGTCCTGCTCAAGATTGTAACTGGAGTTCTTACAGACACACGTGGAAACCTTGGTAGCTCCATTCTGTGAGCAGAAGGGCAACAAGGGATTCTGTATCCCACCTG